TTAGATGTGTGATTTTGATGTTGTGATGTAAGTTGGTGAGATTGAAGAAAATAAGCAAAAGTTGACAAATTTGGAGAAATGGCTAAATTGTAAGGGATCCAAAGTTCGGGGACTAAAATATAAATACCTAAAAGTTGTGCCGTGCCGAACCTCACGATGAAGATTTGAGGGTGCTCGGAATCAATTGGATAAAGGAAGACGTCAATGGAATTAAATTTAGTCAAAAGATGATCACAAATCAATTTCCAACCGAAAAGTTATGCTCCGATGTTTTACTCATATCGAGACCTATTTTTGGTATAGAAAGTGATCGAATTGGAGAATGATGTCTGAATCAAAGTTGTAGCCAGATGAGTTATCTTTCCAACGCATTTTGAATCGCCTCAATCGGATATCGGAATACAAAGTTATGATAAAAACACTGAAAGAAGGTGCAGCTGCCTGTTTAAAACAAGAAATTCCATTACATAGTCCGTTAAAACAACAAATTCCGTTAGTTTTTCCGTTAAAAATAAGAAATTCCGTTACATAGCCACTTTTAATATATAGAAGATATCTAATAGTATTTATATTTAATTTTAGTTTTGTTAATAATCAATTAATAATATTAATTCCTTATACATGTCCAATATATCCTTATTTAATTTTAGTTTTGTTAATAATTAATTAATAACATTAATTCAATTTATTCAAAATGAAATAATAAAAAAATTCGCTTCTTTTCCATTTGTCAATAATTCCTTAAATTAATATTTTTAATATTATATTACTTTTTATTAACAGCTTTTATTATACAAATATAACTTAAATGTCTTCCTCAACTGAATTAGTCAGTTTAAAAAAATAACATTCATATTCCTTTATTTAAATAGCTATTTTATTTGGTTGATTTACACATATTTTAAAAACTAAATAATATATTTAAGGAAAAATTGAAGCAACGGTCTCTAACCTTTTCATTTTTTACACATTTACCCTAACATTTATTTTGTGTCAGTTGAGGTTCCTAACATTTCATAAATATACACTTGATGTCCATCTGGACAAAACTGTCCAAAATACCGTCAATTGACCTGAAAAATTT